TTATTTGTTTGTTCAGGTCACTTAGAGAAGAAGCACAGAGATGGAGTGAGAACAAAGAAATCGGTGTGAGACAACATACCGATATGGTTTGGGATATATACAACTATTCTATATAATATCAAGAGTAATGATATTCATATCATGTTTTTATACCACATTTTCATACCATTTTAGGTGGCATGTGATATGGACAGTTAGATCATTTGAATTAATCAGATTTTTAAATTTAGTTCATTATTTAATAAAATAATAATTAAGAAAAACTAGGTAATTAAATGATGATTGTGGTATACGAAAAATCATTTTCTTTCATTTTCTTGGGTTTTGCAAATTTTTCAAATGATGTGGTTGTCCAGGTATATAAATGTGATATAAAAACATGATATGAATATCATTACTCTAATATCAACTGACATTGCCTAGTGAAGAAACTTAATTAGAACATTAAACAAAAAGTGAGAAAGTCAACACAACCTTGGGCAAAACTCATTAAGTTAAACTCCGATCCGTGTAAATTGTCTTCCATTTATTAATTAATTCAGATCTGGTTTTTAATTTGTTATACAATTGTATATGCAGAATTTAACTGTTGATAATGTCCACTAAATATTTATATGCAAAATATAATATAATTTTCAAGAGTGGCACGTAAAAAATGAATTTTCTAGAGTCCACCCATTGCAGGCAGCGACGTGCATGCCTTGCCTTAGATCCGCATAAGAAGGTGAACCAAAGTCAACTGGCCAATAGCCAGAGCATCTGAAGTAGCAACTGACGCCAAAAAGTCGAAACCTGCCGATTCGTATACATCAAAGAACTTGAAGCACTTGACACATATATAATTAACAAAACAAAGACCGACTTAAAACAATGCACATGTATGCGACTTTTGGGTCAACTGGATTAGACGTCCTTATATATATGGTTACGATATAGCAACTCACGTTTTTGTCACACATTTTAACATCTATTTTGTAGGATCCATTTTATAATGTATTTCAACTATTTGAATTTTCTATTTTAGTACATTATTCATAAACCATCTTATAAAAATTTAGAAAAATCTAAAATCATTAAGACATTTATTTGTAATGAAGAAAATAGACGAATGCGGTTCTACAAAGAAACACTAAATTTAATCCAACGGTTATATCATTTTGAATTTGGATGATTTTTGGTAGACATGATCTTTGAAGTAAGATATAAAAGGTAGACTATCATATTGTTGAAATACATTGCAGAGTAGGCCCCACAAAATGTGTCAAGATGTGTGTCAAAAGCTTGTATTCCCAAATCATAACTCAGTATATATGACTACTAATTTACTATTCCTACTTGAATAGTTCAGCTAATCTTTTACAAGCAAGAGCATGTCGAAGAGGCTCTTTAAACCTCTTAGAAAGTTGGTTTAGAAAAAGGTCTTGGAGATGCTCTAACTTTGTGTGATATTTGTACCCGTGCACAGTGAAAGGTGCATGACTTAAAAGAATTTAGGGCCACAGAACCAATAATTACTTTGAACATATCAAACATCTTCAATCGTGCTCTCTAATTTTATATTTTAAATTTTAATTAGAATACCAAATTTATTTAGGAGATCTTTATAAAATGTCTACTTTAATCATGCTCTTCAATTTAAGAATTCGTAATAATTAGCGGCCGATATAGTGTCATACAAAATATCTTGTTTTCAATGAACTATGTTGAACACAGACAAACCAACAAAGAAAACAATAGTAGAAAAAAAGAAGCAACTTTGGTTAAAGTATTAACCCCCTAAACCCTTTCATCAAACCATAAATCTCAATCCCTCTCCCTCTCTCGCATGCTTAATCACTCTTGGTGGACTATTTGTAATCCAAACCTGGGTGATCTATCCATGATCAGGATGAAAAATTTTCATTGAAAAATTTAGAGTCTAACCTTGAACTTGCATCCGAGTTTAGCGTTTGTCCCTAAACTAAAATTTTATGAATTTAAGTCCCTGAATTTAACAAAATGTTCAGTATTCATTCTTTCATTTGACTCAGGTGCGGTTATATCGGGCAACAAGAGGGAAAGTCATATTTTGAGGCATAATTTCATCTCATTCAAAGCCCTAATCTTTAAATTTCACATCCTTCCAAATTGTTTTAATTCATAAACCGAACACCTCAATTGAATAGAAAGGGTTCTGTAGTTTAGAACTATTTGAACTAGTCAATTTAAGTCTATCGGAAACTTTCATGTAGATTTTCGTATCAAGATCCCTGTATAGATATGCAGTTACCACATCCATAAGCTTAATGTCAAGTTGTTCGGGAACTACCAGTCTTACAAGGTAGCATGACGTTATCACATCCATAACCGGTGAATACGTCTTATCATAGTCAACCCCAGAGCATTGAGAGAAACTCTGTGCCACAAAGCATGCTTTAGCCTCCTGAAAATAAAAAATCTCCGACGTGGTATCTTTAGAATTCTTGACATGGGCGAAATTCGTCTCACGGGTAAAAGTAATTAGAAGTAGTCGTTGAGGTAAGCGGAGCACAATGAAACGTGAGAGCTGCCAAAAAGGCTCCCGAGTCCCCTCACAACTACTTTAATATCTAGGCTCTAGATGAAATTTTTAATTGGGCCAAACTGAACACATATGATTGGCAAATATTGGATCCATGCTTGTTGAATTTAACAATGGTGAGAATGGAATTAGCAAAGAAAAGTTTTAGTTTAAACTAGGTTTTATTTTTATTTATTTTTATTTTTTTATACTCAAAGTGGTATATGAAATTGGTATAACTTCTCACTTTGGTCACATAGATTTAAAATTGATAAAAGTGGTCTCTAAGATTCTCTACCGTCAAGTATTTTGATGTAGTAGGGAGGAGAACATTTATTCTAGCCAATGACCATGTCTACATTTACACGGTGAGACTAAATTTATTTTATATATATATATATATATATATAAAACTAATAAAACGGGCATCATGAACTACCTTTTGTCCTTGTTATTAATAAAAGTTCATTAAGTGTTTCTAATAATAATAAAAAAAAGTTTGTGTGACCATTTTATTAAATGTCCCCAAACATCGGGCGACCTCGTGGTATATTCATATCTTTATATAAGCAATATATGTTCTTTTTTTTTTTTTTTTTTTTTTTTTTTTTTACAATTAGGGTAAATCTCAGTTTACTACCCTTAAGTTTCATGATTTTCAACATTTGGTATATGAAGTTTTTTTCGTCACAGATAATAACAGAGATATTCCCATCTGTCGGTTTATCATTTGTACACTTGTCATTTGTAGATTGATTGCTAAATATGTAAGCTTAGTAGTAGCATACTTAAGAAGCTAAGAGTGGCAAATGTATATTGTGAACACGAAAAATTCCTGAAAACAAGAGACAAGAATACGTGTACAAAATAATATTTTTGTGTTTAATGATTTTGGGGTTACGATCTCTTTGTAATTTGATCCTCTGATTCGATCTCCGTAAGATGTAGATTTGTTGATCCAAGGGCCGTCGAGGCTTGATCTTGGATGGACAGTTGTAAGTTTCTTCAAGGGCCTTCGTGGCTTTGATCTTGAAGGTTGATGGAAGTTTCTTCAAGGGGCCGTCGGGGCTTGATCTTGAGTTGGTGGAAGAGCGGATCTTCAAGGGCTTTTGGGCTTGATCTTGAAGAACGGTTGGTTTTCTTCAAGGGCCGTCGAAGCTTGATCTTGAATGAACAGTTGGCTTTCTTCAAGGGCTTTTGGGCTTGATCTTGAAGAATAAATGTGTGGATTTGTTTGTTGATCCAAGGGGCCGTCGGGGCTTGATCTAAGGATGAACAGTTGATGAATGGATCTTCAAGGGGCGTTGGGCTTGATCTTGAAGAATGGGTGTATGGGTTTGTTGAGGTTGTTGATCCAAAGGGCCGTTGGGGCTTGATCTTAGGATGAACGGATGATGAATGATGAACACTTTCTTTAAGGGGCCGTCGGGGCTTGATCTTGAATAATGGTTGTGTGGATTTCTTTAAGGGCCGTTGGGGCTTGATCTTGAAGGAGGATTTGACGAAGAACGAAGAGTGCTTTCTTGATCCTTCGGGATTTTCTTGAGAGCTTTAGAACTTTAAGGCTTCAAGGTTTTGGTGTGTCGGTTTGTTGAGGTTGTTGATCCAAAGGGCCGTTGGGGCTTGATCCTAGGATGAACGGATGATGAATGATGAACACTTTCTTCAAGGGGTCGTTGGGGCTTGATCTTGAAGGTTGATGGATGAGCGGATCTTCAGGAGCTTTTGGGCTTGATCTTGAAGAACGGTTGGATGTGTGGATTTGTTGATGTTGTTGATCCAAAGGGCCGTTGGGGCTTGATCTTGAAGGAGGATTTGACGAAGAACGAAGAGTGCTTTCTTGATCCTTCGGGATTTTCTTGAGAGCTTTAGAACTTTAAGGCTTCAAGGTTTTGGTGTGTATATTTGTTGATGTTGTTGATCCAAAGGGTCGTTGGGGCTTGATCTTAGGATGAACGGATGATGAACGATGAACACTTTCTTCAAGGGCCGTCGGGGCTTGATCTTGAGTTGGTGGGAGTTCTTCAAGGGCCGTTGGGGCTTGATCTTGAAGGAGGATTTGACGAAGAACGAAGAGTGCTTTCTTGATCCTTCGGGATTTTCTTGGGAATTTGGGGTTTGGATGCTTGAGAGCTTTAGAGTTTCAAAGCTTCAAGGATTTTGGATGTGTGGGGAGTATTCTCTTCCATTTTGGGAGTAGAGAAATGTATTTGTGAATTGGTGTTTTTTTGTGTGTGTATTCCTCTTGATGGAAAGCCTATTTATAGGCTTTGAGAGTGAATCACCACCATTCATTTTTTTGGTGAAGTGAGTGGAGGTTGTAGGTGAAGTGAGTGGATGTTGTAGGTGAAGTAAGTGTGTGAGGTTGGTGAAGTAAATAAATGTTGTAATTTTAATACATTGGTTAACATTTATTTTACTCAAATTTCGATGTCTACATATATATAGCTGATGTGCCTTGTTTTTCAGTCGGTTAATAAAAAGTCTCCCTCTTCACAATTTTCTTTCTCTCTCTCTAAATTCTCTATCAAACCTTCACTACAAAAACCTAGATTTTCATATTGTTAAGATGGTATCCAGAGCCAGTGATTCTTCTGTGGAATTGCTGACTTCTTGATTGATTTGGTTTGGTCCGCTGCTTCTGTTGCTGAGAATTTCTCAGGAGAAATCAAGTTTTGCGAGTTAGGTTTTTCTTTGGGGGATTTCGTGCGCTCTTTTCTGATGTGATTTGGTGTCTTCGGTTTGTGAGTACTATTCTTTTGCTTTTCTTCATCGATTGTTTGATTTTTGTGTAGTTTGTGTTGATTCTATGAAGGCCTATGCCATAGATTTTAATAAAGGCCGATGCCTTAATTCTTGCATATTTCAATTTTCTTTCAAATTGATATATTATGAAAGATCGATGTCGTTTGTAAATTGGTGAAAACCGAAGTCACTACCAATTGATTGTTCGGAGGCTTATTGCCAATCAGAATATCTCTGTTATTACTGTGATTTTATTACTGAGATTCTTTGAAAGATAGGTTCATCTACTATTAAGATTGAAAGTATTCTAGGAATGTTAACTATTCATCTTACTGATAACAATTACTCTAAATGGGCTTTTCAATTTAAGTCGGTGCTTAAGGGATACAAGTTGTTTGATCATTTTGATGGTACATCTATATGTCCACCAAAATTTGTTGTTAGTCCTGAGACTGGGGTTACTAAAGAACTTTCTTCTGATTTTCAAGACTGGTAGACAAATGATTTAGCTCTTCTTAGCTTGTTAATTGCTACTCTGTCGAATGATGCTATAAACCATGTTCTTGGATGCAAAACTGCTCATGATACTTGGTCCATTCTTGAGGATAGATATGCTACTATTTCAAAGTCCAGGATTAACATGCTTAAGACTGAATTGCAGACAATGCAGAAAGGGGTGATAATATTGATAAATTTTTGTCTAAATTGAAATCTTTTTGTGATCAATTGATTGTTGCTAGTGAAGTTGTATCTGATAAAATTTGATAATTGCTACTTTTGATGGTCTTCCTTGTGAATATGCTATTATTAGAATAGTCATTTTAGCTCAGTAGTCTTCTATTTCTTTGAAGGAATTTCAAGCCCAATTGTTGAATACAAAAGGGGATATTGAATGTATGGAGCATACTTTGTTGACTTCTATAGCTGCCATGTATGTTCAGGGTTCTAGTTCTCAGACTAATATTGAACTGGGTTCATCATCTAATTCTCATTTTGCTGATGGTTTTTCATCTGCCACTGTTGGAACTATTCAACCTGGATCTTTTTATCCTGCTCCTATTGTTCATAATCCACCTTCTTTACATATGCCTTCTGTGCAGCAACACCCATTACTTATGCTACCTCCAGTTCAGTTTTCTCCATATGGATATGGTTATGGTTTTGTTGGTACTTCTGAGTTTGGTTTTTCTGCTGGTAATTCATCTCAAGGTTCTATGTTTGTGTCACCTCAATCTAATTACAGATCATATAATGGGCATCAACATATGGGTAATGGTAACTTCAGGTCCAATTTTAATAAAGGCAGAGGTTCTAATTCTGGTTCTAGACAGGGTCAGTGGAATGGAAATATTGATTCAAGGTTTAATATGTAGCCTGAATGTCAGATTTTTCAAATGAGAGGTCATACTACTCCTAACTGTTATTATCGGTCTTCAAGTTCATCTTCGACTGTCACTACATGTCAAATATGTGGTAAACGGGGTCATATTGCTTTAGAATGTTACCATCGTGGGAATTATGCATTTCAAGGCCATGGTCCACCTCCTGCCTTCAATAACATGCCAAAATATGTTTACTCTTCCTCTTCTGCTTAGTTTGTTGGTTTTACTTCCAATGTTTCAGGTCCTATTCCATCCTCTTCTAATATGACTACCATGAATGCTCATGTTGTTGCACCTTATCCAATTGGAGATGCTTGGATTGTGGATACCGGTACCTCGCATCATATGACTTCTGATGTATCTAATCTCAGTCAGCCCACTCCTTTTGATGGTTCAGATCAAATTAAAATTGGAAATGGTCAAGGTTTGGAAATAAAGCACATTGGTTCTACAGTTCTTAAAACTCCTTTTCATTTTCTTCAATTATCTGAAGTTCTTCATGTTCTTCACTTAGCTGAAGATTTATTATCTGTTAAACAACTGTGTAAGGATAAACAGTGCTGGTTTATTTGTGATGACACCATTTTTTTTGTGCAGGACAAGGTAACAAAGGAGATACTATACAGAGGCAGGAGTAAGCCAAATGAGCTATTTTAGATTCCTGTGCAGAGTGCAAATTCTTCAGCTTTTCTTGGGCAAGTGATCAAGTCTTCTGTGTGGCATAAGCGGTTGGGACACCTCACTAATGACGTCCTATCAGTCATGTTAAATAAGTCTCAGCTTAGTTCTATAGTTGATAAATGCAGTATCTGTTCTGATTGTATAAATGGCAAAATGTCTGGGTTACCTTTTCCTACTGAGTCCATTAGGTGTTTAGTACCTTTTGAAAGGATCCATATTGATATTTGGAGTCCTTCACCAGTAACGTCTATTGAAGGATTTAGGTATTATGTAACCTTTGTGGATGATTGTACTAAGTTTGTATGGATTTTTCCATTATTCAATAAATCAGATGTTTTTGCCATTTTTGTGAAGTTCTATACTTTTATATCAGTTCAGTTTGGAGGTTTTGTTAAATGTTTACAATCTGATGGTGGGTGGGGAGTTTGTTAGTAAACAATTTCAATAGTTTTTGAGTTCTAAAGGTATTTTTCATAGGATTTCTTGTCTTTATACTCCTCAACAAAATGGATTTGTTAAGAGGCGAAACAGACATATTGTGGAAACTGCTATTACTCTTATGTCTGTTACTGGTTTGTCATAAGGCTTTTGGTGCCATGCCTGTGCACATGCAGTTTATCTCATTAATAGGATGCCTTGTCGATCTCTTCAAATGTCTCTTTTTTCTTCAAGTTATATAATAAATCTCTAGCTTTGGGACATTTGAAAATCTTTGGGTCTACAGTCTATCCTTATTATAGGCCATATACCAATAATAAACTTCAACATAGGACTCTATTATGTGTCTTTTTTGGTTATGCTGTTGGTTATAAGGGAGTTATTTGCTATAGTTTAGCAACCAAGAGATTATACATATCTAGGCATGTGGTTCATGATGAGCATATGCTTCTTGCAAAGCTGCCTAGTTCTCCAGTTATTTCTTCCTTCATCAGTTCAGATTCCAAATTGCTTCCTCTTTTGGTTGTTACACTGCCACAAGTTACTTCACAAGGTACAGGGGTACAGGGGTTTCACCAATGTCTTTTGGTTTATCCGGTTCTTCATCACAGGAATCTGAATCTTTAATAGCTCGCTCCAATGCTGCTACTCCTCTTTCTCCTGAGTTGTTACCTGTCTTTGATTCCACTCAGCGTTAGGCGCTTTTACCTTTTGCCCATACATCTAGTTCTTCTGCATCTTCTACTGATCATGGCATACGCACAAGATTGAAGATAGGTGCTATATCTAGGCATGATTATTCTGCTTACTAAGCTGCTTCATCTTTACCTCCTATTTTTGTTCTTGAGCCCTCAGAACTGCACTCATTGTAGATTAATGTTATCGATCATGATACAATCATTGATCACCTGGATGACCTTTGTTGTCTTTAACTATTGGCAAGGACATTAGGTGTTTTTCTTAGTTCGAAAAAAATTAAAGTTAGTCAAACATACTCCAAAATTCTAACGAAATTTCGGCAGAACCTCCCCTATAATTATAGCGTTTCCCAAACCCTGCAAACAGTAATAACCAATATTTCATATCCACATTCCGGAATGCACAGTTACGTGATGTTGTTTATGACTCCATTGGATTAGATTTCGACGTGAGACAATTCTGGCAGCATCTCTTTACAATTCTTCAAGTGCACGACGTAGATATAAAATACATATCAGGCACTCGAAGAATGTAAAAAACTGTGACCGATCTGTGAACAGTAAACTACACCCCATAACTGTGCATTCCCAAACTATCCTAATAATGGGACAATTCAAGAATCAATTGGACCACAGTCATATGCTTTCATAGCCATGTGTGAAATCCAACTAATCCTTGAACGGAAACTAAGTTTATTTTGAAAAAATGCACGAAGTTAGTTACTATTAACTCTGTACAACACAAAACAATTTTGTTCGTGATGTACACAATAGTTTATATAAAAACAATTTAACACACCATAATTTAAAAATAAATTAAATAATTTAAAATTTAAAAACCAAAGAACATACCTCCAATTTCGTTTTTCACCAATCGATAATCGTATACAATAGCTCTATAAAAAAAACAAATTTGATGGCATTAGTACAAATTCACAATGAAATTTTCAAATACAAAACGAAAATGCATACTGAATAGAGTAGGATAGATTGATTTAAGGAGAGATGATGAAGATATAGATGATGGGAGTATTAGAGGAAGGCTACATTTTTGTAGTGGCAGAGGTAGTTGCTGCAAAATTTGCAGTTTCTGCCTTTACAACTGAGCAATCTGATTATAAATACGAACTCCTTGTGCGACGAAACCTCCGTCGCACAAAACATACACCGTTGAAAATTGGCGCGAAATCTAGCTGCATGTTTTGACCATTTCGTGCGACGAATATTTTTGTGCGATGACAAGTTCGACGCCTAAATGCTGAAGTGATGAAGGACATTAAATTTAAATATTTATTTGAAAATTTGAAGCTTATGTAAACAAAGAGTTTATTGTCTAATTGATTTAGTCAAAAAAAAAAACTTAAATCAAATTAAGTTAACCAAATAAATCAAATTAACCAACTAATCAATTAAACTGAAAATTTTATTCAAATACATATTAAAGAAATAATTAAAAACATCGTTCTCAAATACATAAATATAAACATATGTTATTCGTCCACAACAATTAATTAACACTTCTACTCCACTAGTTTGTCAGGATTTCCCTATAATTCTATGTGTCGCTAGACGTTAGGCCACCGTTGCCGGTAATGCGTCCTGAACATCTCATTGATCAACTTCATCAAGCATTGGTCCGTAACATAAATAATATAGTTACATTGTGACACAAAAAATAATTACAAATTAATCGTTATAATATACTATTTAACAAAAATAATTATTATTTTACTAATTTACACTTACTGATAATTCATCCAACGTAGACTTCTTTAGGTCCTCGGGCAAATTGTTCCAAGACGCCTGCTTCGTAAAACAATTGATCCGCACTAGTACCTGAACGTCGTGCATAAGCTTCGCATTCGTCGTTGTATTCAATCCCCTCATATCATCATAAATGATTCGCTTATGCTGCGCACTTTCCTCTTTTTGAGCCTGCACCTATCTCTGGGTTTTTTTATCTGCAGTATCTGCGGAAACAAAACATAAATTTCAAAATCACAGTAATTGATTCACCCAAAATTGTTTTTCCAAAAATATAAATATTACATCCACAGAAACTTAATTATTACATTTCCCAAATCATTCTCCCTTACATTGCTTAGTTGTAAGAACAACGAAATCGGCCATCTCACCAAATTAAAACAAGACCTTAGGATATTTTAAATACGACGAGTTCAATGTGCATTGACCATTTCAGAGCCATTTACCTAATAAAATCTCTCGTGTAATGTTTACGCGGGAAATTCTTCGTCATGCGACTATTTGGTGCCAAAAAACTCCTTACCCGCATTTACTTGAAGGCTTTTGCACGATGAAGGTTTTTAGTCGTTGAGAAAAGGTAGCTTTTGCGGCAAAATCCTTTGTTGCATAAATTTTTCCACATTTGACTGACGGATTACTGTTTTCGTCACTCAAGTGCATTTTAGGCGACAAAAGTTTTCCACATTTGACTGTCGTAGGGCAAGATTTTGGCGCCAACAAAAAATTTGGCGCGCAAGTCATTAAGGCTTGCGGGTCGAAACAATGATTCGTTGGCTAAGTTCAGTTTGCCTGATGGACAACTTCATTAACTAACGGTTTCAGCTAGTTTTAACAAAGGACCATGCTGATGTGTTAAAAAACGAGCAGAAACACGTTTGCTCGATGATTGAGTGAAGGTGCCCGTCAAGGATTTCCATCGGGCAAACACTACTTCACCAATTAGGTCTGTGTGTTATTCTTTATTCCCATTCTCCTTTCCCTGCTCTCTTTAGCGACTGCTGTTTCTCCTTGCATCTCTCTTTCTCTATCTCTCTTATACACAAACACCCTACACTCTCCTCCATCTTTTCCCCTCCTAATTGATTGAAGATTAGTTTATTTTTATTTGTTTATTAATTTTTTCTTCGAATGTATGATTAATTAATTTAGTAGCTATTAAAAAGGAATCATGCAAGGATCCTAATGAGGAAGGACGCTCTACTTGCCATTTGAGGTATATTATAATATAATATAATATTATATTGTATTTTGTTCTTGAGTAGTCTTTGAGGAGACTTAAATCTAGTTAAACTTGAACGATATCTTAAGACTATTGGTGATTCATTTTCACCAAATTGTCATCATACATATTGTATAGCTAGCTATGACCATACGTTTATGCAGGTACTGATGTTTCCAATAAAATCTAGATTCGTTAATAGACGCTAGTCATCTATCAGGTAAATCCCACTTCACCTGATTGCTATACACTTGAATTACTTTGATAGTGTGAATGGAATTTACATTCTTTGATATGACGAGCGATGTGATATAAACTTGATTATTGTTATGGTAGTGTTATATGTATATAGTTTTTTACTATATATATGATTTCAAAACGAGGGTTATTATATTCAAATGATTTTAACTAGATAAACTTGATCCACTCACACTTTATTTTGTCGACCCCTCAGGACATAGTGAGAACAAGGATAACCCAGGAAGTGAAGAGTAGGCTTGGCAATGAGACCTTCACCTTCATATTTTGGTGATGAGTCCCTTACTGCAGTTTATTCTAGTATATAATAATTGCATATTGTACTCTTGATTATGTATGACACTACATTGTTTTGTGTTAATTGTTGTGTGAGGTTACTATCATCTTTGGTGTGATACGATAAGGATGAGATTACATCCCCGAACATGTGTCCCCAAGTAGGGAGGTTGATGAGGTTTGCTTAGTAGACTGTTTTGATTATTAATAAAGAATAGTTTGGTTCAAATTCATTCACATCATAATTATCTTACGATGGCTTTCATCACTAAGTCGGCTTGTGACATCATCTCATGATGGGTTCATGTGGTCAATTTAGTGGGGGCCATCATATTATGGCCTCATAACTTGTGTTATTGGGGTCAGAATGTGTCACTGAATTTTCATGCCTAGCATGTGGACAACACAAAGGGTAATGCTAGGGAGATCAAATTTGAAGACTAAATTTATAAACTAAATGATGTGTCACCAATAAGAATAAGCACGTTTATCAACGTGTAAGTAATAAACCAATCATCAACTTTCATGTGCTCTAGTTTTCAAAACTTTGTCCATAGATTTAGTCTTCCTGACCTTACTCCAACACAAATAAGGTGATGTAGAGCACATGTGGCTGTCGAGCTTCATACATAGAGCAACCTGCTCTGTTATACCATATAGAAATATGATTTCTTGATTTGTGTGATACAA